CCCCCCCCCCCCCCCCCCCCCCCCGTTGCTACGGCCCTGACAAGTAATAAACCGAAAAACATTTAGCGATTTACGATTTGTTTTATGTTTTCTATGTAAATGCCATAATTTCGTAAATCAGTTTATACTGACAATATATACAATTATATTATATATTCTCAGTTTAACAACTAAAAGTCTAAAATTTTGTTATACTATTTTTGCCGTAATTTTCCGAATGGCCAACCTGATTTTCCGAATATATTAATTCTAAAAAAGCACCAAATGGTTTTATCCACGCATTGTCATGCAATTTGAAGTTAAACATGATAGATTATTAGAAATATCCATTCTGCCACAGTCAGACAGCAAGTTTCCTTGATTCAAATTGAGAGAAAAGTCCCGAAGGCACTCATGTTTATGATAATTATGAAGTTATATTATTAATATATTCGTTGTTGACATATGATAATATGGATGCACAGGATGGATGTGAGTGTCAAGAATCGAGACTTGCAATTTGAATAAATATTATATAATTTAAATTAACTTCCTAGAGCAGCATCCAACGATTTACTTTTATCTGCCATATTGCAAATAAGAAAATTACTACTCTTCAGGCACTAAACATGACTCAGAGATCTAGATGTAAGAAAAGGCTAGTGAAAAAATATAACACACGAAGTTTACATATTTTCGTGACCATGTGCGTTGTGCGCCCGCACCTCGCTACAACCGTCCGCACTTGCACTTTTACTTCATGTTATTTTGCGCACCTGCAAGTCATTTTGCGCACCCGCACCTATTTCACCCAAGCTTTCCGCACCCAAGATCTCGGCGAAAAGTGCCCAACTCTGCAGTCTGGGAATTTTGGATGATGTCATAATATGACGTCATCAAAGTTTTTGAGAATGTTCTTATATTGCAAAAAATGTTCTTATATTAATATACGAAATAAGAACATTTTATTTTTGAAAAAATGTTCTTATATCCAACCCTGGCACTGGATATTAAATGGAATGGCCCTGTACTTCGTATTAATATATAACTACATGAACTAATTATTAAAAATAAACTGACCTTTAATTAAACTGAAGAACTTGATTGGCTTGTACACGTTGGTTTCTTTGTCATATAGTTCAATTGCTGTTGCTTGTAAATGTTTTATAAACCAGTACAGCGAAGTAGCGAAATTTCGGGCCGTCTTTCACAATAAATAACATCACAATAACTGCAGATCTTTTTCTCTTTAATACAGAATCATTTTCCCCGTCCATTGAGTTATAATTTCCAAAACGAACCAGTCGCTATAACGTAAAATAAGCGGGTATTTGTGAACAAAAATGCCCTTTGATATAACACGAGGTAACCAGCGCCATCTTGTCTTCTCCAAACATTACAGGTTTTCCCGCCAAAACCCGCCCCCGAAGTCCCGTATGTACCTGACGTCACAAGTGTCATGGATGGGGGGGGGGACTACCGCGATATGAAACCGGAACCACAAGTTGCTTTTTTTACTTTATTAATTAATTCATTTTATATTGGACATCAAAGTCCGATCCAACTACGAAACAACTTTATCAATCCGATCCAAAATGAATATTTTGGTTCCAAAATCCGAACAAATCGGATTTGCACACCTCTATTTCATACAGGCGAAATTCTGACCATATTGTCCATATACTTTTTATTTACCGACTTATGGCATTTTTCATAAGTGGGAAAAAAAACAGCAAAAAAGTTAAGGCTATAGCCTTATTGTTTTGCTGTTTTTTGCCACTTATGAAAAATGATACTGGCTAAAAATGGACGAAAAGTAAAGGCTATATATAGCCTTACTTTTTTGCTGTTTTTTGCCCACTTATGAAAAATAACATAAGTGGCTAAAAATGGACGAAAAGTTAAGCCTATAGCCTTACTTTTTTGCTTTTTTTTGCCCACTTATGAAAAATGCCATAAGTGGCTAAAAATGGACGAAAAGTTAAGGCTATAGCCTTACTTTTTTGCTGTTTTTTGCCCACCTATGAAAAATG